TAGCAAATAGTTTTGTCGAGCACTGTAGTAATTCAATTTGATTAATAAATGAAAAGTATTTTGGAAGCGCTGGTACAGATTGTACAAAATGTGTTCTGAGGACAGTAAATGGTTTTTCATTGACCTAGAGCAGCGATTTCGTGAGTCTATCGTGTCGGTTTTTTTTTTCTGGCGTAGAACCAGTTCAAACATGATAGGTTTCTTTGAGCATGTCACTGGGTATATGAAATCGCATTTGACGACATTTTTTTGTGGTCTCGCATTTTCTAAATAAAAAAAAGTTAATTAATTGTAATAAAAAAGAATTTATTTTTTTTGTTTCGACCGTAATATCTTTAAAACTAATAAAGATACTGAAATTATTTTTGTATCAAATTAAAGAATACATTGTAGCGCTTTTAGCAATACAAGCGGCTTGGACACAATTTTCACTTTTATTTATCTAAAAAAAATCAAATAAAGTAAAAATATATATTTTATGTATTTAAATTTTTACCAATCGGCAAACTTTTTTATTTTTGGAAAATTTTATATACATGCAGCGAAGAAAATAAAGATTATGCATCATAAAAGTTTTTAAAACCATTACTTTTTTCCTAAAGTGTATCGTTTGGCAAACAGCGATTTTTTTGTAGCGCGCTAAATAAGTCAATGGATTGCAATACGCTCCGCAAGCAGGATATAGGACGCGTAGTCTTAAATAGAGGCGATTGACGTTGTACATTGTTTGCTGTGTGCAATTATTTCGTTTTTGTTAGACAATAAAGTGCATTATTTGTAAGAAGATTGTGCAGGATGGTTACAAATCTGTGATATAAAGGCCTAGAATACAAGGTTTGTTATCATTAATAACCAAGTGCTAAAAAAAGACAAGACAATGGCTAAAGAAATTTTGTCCAAAAAAAAAATGGTATTTTAAACGGCGAAATTAAAATAAAATATCATACAGACTGTCGTAAATCTTACACAAGTTCTAATAACATTGATCGTTATTTTCAATCAGATATTAGAATTGTGTGCCTTGTTTGCAACAAAAAAGGAACAAAAAAGAAAAAAGTCTGATATCGGTTCAAACAGGTAATTTAAATTTTATTTAGTCTTTACCTTTGCTACATATATTTTTAGGTAGTGGAATAGCTGTTCGATGATATGGCGAAATGTTTGGCGAAGGTTTCACCTGTGAAAAAAAATTACATTTGGGCAAGTATTGACCTCAACGAAAAAACCATTGATGGAAAAAAGAACAACAGATGCTATGGCCATGGTTGTGTTTCTTGAAAAACAGTCTATACAACCAATTAGGAACCCAATTAAAGGAGTTAAATTTGCTTTAAGCATAAAAGAAACGGACATAAGTCTGCAGCGACTTGAAAAATATAATAAATCTAAACCCCGTCCTGTACTTCCTCGAGAAAAAAATGAATTTATTTTGGCGATTGTTGAAATTACTCCAGAATAAGTATTCCTTTCTGAGATGGAGTGATGTTCAAAATATATAAAAATAATATTCCAGTTTCATCAATTACATACCTTTTCTTCTTCAATTCTCCCCCAACAGAATTTGACACAATTTTTACCGCAATGGTAAGGTTAGTACAGTTAGCAGAAAAACTGAATCAGGATCATATTGTAATAACCGCAAACTTAGCAACTTATTCCAAGGCACGCGAAATACTGTGAAACAAACCTCCAGAATTGTCTGGCAAACAATGGCATTTATTACAAGTATAGGTTACATTTTTGCTGATGGTGGACTTACATAGATTCTTGTCGAAACAGATATTTACGCAGAAAATTCTTGTCATCTAATGCTCGATGGAAAGCAGTATTATCGCGCTATTCGAAGCCTAACATTAGCAGCCGGTGCAATATGTCGATTGTTTTCACTAAAAATAATACGAAGAAAATAAAGGACAAAATTTTTTACTGACGAGCTGAAAAAAGAAATGGACAAAGTAATAAAATCAAAAATTGACGAAGCAGGTAACTAAGATCTTTCTTACCTTCTTGAAAATCACAACAAAGTTGTAGCAGAATTTGTAAACGTGGGTTGCGGCTCATCAAAAACATTTAAATATTGGTACTTTTTTTTGGAGATAATCGATTTACTTTGGAGAATGCTAAGTGCTGAAAGAAATGGAGATTTTGAAAGTCATCTGTAACAATCGAAAATGCACTTGTGTTAAAAAAGGCCTAAAATGTTGTAACGAGTGTAAATGTCGTTCCTGCAACAACAGTATTAAAAATTAGATTAGAGTGCTATTAATGTAGCATTTAAATAATAAATATGTCAGCGATAAACCTTACTTTATTTTTAAATTTTTAGTTTAATTTAATTAAAAATGTTTAATATAATATAATTTAATTGAAAATGTTTAATATACTACTAATTAGGTCCGCCGGTCGCTCTCGTAGGCCGGAGCCGAGTGCGCAAGACTATGATTTTGGCCCGTTTAAGAAAAATCGCTGACTCGATACTATAACCGACACATAAAAAGTTTTTATTGTAAAAACTTTTTTCGACTATTGGCTTCAATTTGTTCGCAGCATATATGTACAAATTTTTAGAAATAAACTTTTTTCTCGATTGCTTAAAATTACGCTACTGAAAATAACAAGTTTGAGTTTGCTGTTATTTTAACACATTAACAATTTTTTTTTTTTGATTTAAGTGAGGTATTGTTCAAAGCGCTATTGTGTCTACTTTAATGTGTAAAAAAAAATACCTCGATAGCACGATTATTTTCCGAGATATAGCGGTGGAGACGTTAAAAAACATTTTTTATAAAATATCGACTTTTTTAAAGTTTTCTCGAAATAAAAAAGTTCTCGACCACCAAAAAATGTCGTCAAAAATGATTTCGTGTACTCGATTACCTTATTAAAGAATTGCACTAAGTTTGGTTTGGTTCTACGCCGGTTTTTTTTTTTTTTTTCTCAAAAACTAAGCGTCTTTACTTCCAAGTTTTACTCCGCTAACCCAGTAAATAAAGAAGACGTTTTAGAATTAATTGGAAATTTAAAAAAATACTAATTCTGTTGAAGTAGATTGCATGCCCACTAAAATCAAACATATTGCTTATTATGTAGCTAAAACTTTTAAAGTAGGATTAATAACCACTTCATACAAAAGAGATGATCCGCTAAGTTTAAACAATTATAGATATATAGAATATAGAATATTCCTTAAATGGTCCGTATTCCAGAAATTTGACAAAAACTGCCAAATTCGAATTTTTAAGAAAATTGTTTAATTAAAAATTGCTTGCGATATAATTCTCTATAAACAATCTGTTTCATACATGATTTCCCTAAAATGGACCGTATTCGAGATATTTAAGGAAAAATGCAAATTTAGAATGTCAGTTCAAAAACAGATAAAGAGAAAATAAACAGATATAAAAAAATGTTTCGAGTATAAGATGTGTGTGTAAAATGTCTATATTTGGTTCATTCTCTAAACATTTACAGAGATGTACAAAATAACAGGAAAAAGCCTGTAATAACTACATAGGAAATTCATGTGTCGGACACATCAGATTTTTAATCTAGTTATATATTTTTTATGTGGTGCATTGAATTACTAATGAAATTACCTCTAATATTGGGTGTTACATAACAATAAATTATAACATGACCTCTCTTGCTATTGGGTATTAAAAGGGTGGTATAAAAATTGACTTGCGCCATCATTTTTTACAATATTTTATGGTACAGAGGTTAATTATGGGTATTAACACATTACGTTCACAATCTATAATAACAATGTCTTATTCAAATTCTTATGAACAACCCTAAACCCTAAGGGATACTTAAATACTATACAACAATTCAAAAGACCGATTATAATATTAATTGCCAAATTAAATATTTTAAACTACTAAAGTGAAATAAAAAAATATAATAGTAATTTATGTAACGAGTGCACAAAGTGGTACTTTTTTCACGAATAGAAAAGTTGAACGCACAAGCCGTCAGGTGAGTGCGGTAATTCCATAAGTGAAAAAAGACCCTTTATGCATATGTTGCATACCATATATTTTCTACAGCCATATACAAATAATAAAATAAATATGGAATATTTCAATTAAACTCCTTCAGTAAATTACAACTATTAATGAATGCATAATAAATGAATTGGAAATTTTACATAATAATATTAGGAAAAATCAACAAGTAATTATTTATTTTAGTTTTATTTCGCAATTGTAAATATTGAATACTCAATTTTTTGTTGACTACTATGAATATTTGATGCAGTTACATTAAAGATAGAGCGTAGAAAAAATTACTTACCTAACTTCCAAAAAAGGCTGTAGATTAAATAGTATTATATTTCTGTAAGCACAAACACTACCATGAAAAGCCGGAAGGCGAAAGAAGCAAAATTGGTGAATATTTAAAAATCATCTGAGAGTATCCTTGAATCTAAAAATAGAACGCACCACTATAAGTAGAAATGGCAGCACCGCTGGGCTTCACTGTGATTTACTAGTATCTTTTTTTATACGTGTGGGTTTCTCAACGTCTTAAAGATATCTTCTTGGGCTTCACAAAGGCATAAATGTTTATATTGGACACTCCTGTTTTGAAATCTTTACCCCTCTACTTTCCACACTATATGTTTTTTATGATTTTAAAGCGATATAGAAAAAGTATACACGCCTAAACCACTTGCAAGCGCCGGGCTCCAAAGCGGCCCATTTGTCTCGGGCTTCATTACATACCATTTATAGGTATATATATATATATATATATATATATATATATATATATATATATATATATATATATATATATATATATATATCTTTGATTTCTCTATATTTAAATTATATTGAAAATTAGTGTTTAACCAAGCAACCCCAAAAAATGAAAAGTTAAATAAAGAATTTTATTCATGTTTTTAAGAGTCGTTTCACTGTATGTTCATATGAATCAAAAAATATAATTTTTTTTTAAATTGATGGTTTTGTTGATTTTTTATTTTATTTTTACAGGTGGATGGAGGTAATAGGCAGTGCTACTCAAAGCAGATTAAAAAAAAAATTGACTTTAGTAAATGAAAATAAAATAGAAACTTCCACTGAAAAGTAACAAGCTTAAAAACTACTTAGTATTTTATTGGAATTTTCTAATAATTTTAACTCTCGTTTCTATTTTAAATTTCAAAAAAAAAACACAGGTCTTCCATATTTTATCTGGTATTATACACAGGATAATATTTATTGTAACAATATTTTTCATTCAAATTGATTATTTGTACATTCCACGCAAATTAATTTAAAAAACTAGGATTCCATAATAAGTATTTTTTTACGTAGTTTGCATTTAAAAAAATATATTTAAACAATGTACACAGTTTTTTTTTATTTAAATGAATGAACAAAAAATGACTGTCAAAAAAATAGTGCCTTTATTTTTTATTATTTATATATTTTAATTAGAAAGTTGCAATATTTGTTTTTAAATATAACATTCGGAAGAGTTTATTCTAAAACATTAATATATATTTTTCAAATTAATGATCAAACTGAAAATTTTAAAATTCGAAGTATTTTATAAGGAAGTATTAACATTTCATATAGATATTATAAATCCTGAAAAATAATTCTTTTCCATATTATTTTTGTAAATATGTACATTTTATGGAGAATGCATTATTTTTACTTTTTCATAACTTGGCAGCTTTTAATTGTATTTTTATTATATTAATTTAGATATCTTAAGTGTAAGTGTTATTTTATTTAAACAGAATAAAGTGGTTATTTACAGTAATTATCATTTTTTTAATTCTATCAATTTAGTCCACATGCGTTAAAATTAATTTAAGTTAATCAAGTCAAAAGTTTCTTTTTTAATTTGCAAAAGCTAAATTTTTTAATGTTTGCAAATTATACTAGAGACGTAGAATAAACAGTTGCAAAAACTATTTTATGTAAGTTTTCGAGATATTTCTCTTCACTTGCTTCCTATTTTTAGTCAGTCAACTCTAAGCTGTATTTTTATCTAGTTTTTAAAATATAATTTTTCAGTAATACTAAACTGTTTCAAAATCGTTTGAATCATATCAAAGAAGGTCGGTCCTGTGCTCGCGAATCCAAACTGTAAACAGATGTGTACGTGACAATATCTGTATCCGCCGAATTGCATCGGCGCGGATTACTCAAGGCTAACTAGTTACAGTCACCAGACATGTATGTATCTCTGTCTTTGAACGACACAAAAACATCAGACGAGTCTGAGCTTCGCTAGAAGTCAGACGTGTTCTTATTAAAATTACGACGGTTTGTCTGTTATATAAATCACCTAAGTTCTTTGAGCGAAGATAAAATGTGAAATATCCTAATGCAGTGTTAAGCATGTAGGTAGTTTTTAAATAAAAGTAGTGTAAATATGTACAAATTTAAAATTTTTCGTGCAGCGTTTTTGCGTTTTTACGAAGTGTTGGAATTTAATTATCCGTATGGAGATGGTTGCAGCTACCACATTTGATAAGCGCGTCTTAGGGACGCATTTATAATTTGTGTCGGGTTCAACTTTTAATGACCTACCAATCCAACATAATTTTTTGGTCCTTCTACAAACCGGATATAAATATTTTCTTCATGGTCCAGTAAATAAAAATAACTAAAGTGCCGTATTTTCAGTGCAAAAATAATATTAATTATTCTAATATCAAATGTAGCAAAGTCCACTTTTATAAATTTTCAAGGACGTTACATAAAATTACTGTTTTGGCTTTTAAGTGTGTAAATAATTTATTTTATGTAAATTGCAGTCAAAATCGCCGTAGGATTTTAAATAATATTTTAAATTGGCTATGTACAGGGTGGCTCACGCTCAACGGGACGGAGCTTTATGGGAAAACGACCAAAGATATAAAAAATTCGTTTGGGAGGAATACGTAGGTTACAGACGGCTACAATTTAAAATTTGTTAGATGTATACAGGATGTCCCACATAAGAGAAAATATACAAAGTTATAATATTTTTAATGGAATACCCTCTTTTTACTTTCCTATCTGTATACAGATATAAGGAAAGTATAGGAATCATGATTTTTTTCGACCTCGAGTTTTCGACGGATTTTTACGTTTTGAGGTCCCCTGAATCCGTTTTGACTATTTTCGCGATGATGTCTGTCTGTCTGTGTGTGTGTGTGTGTGTGTGTGTGTGTGTGTGTGTGTGTGTGTGTGTGTGTGTGTGTGTGTGTGTGTGTGTGTGTGTGTGTGTGTGTGTGTGTGGGTGTGCGTGTGCGTGTGCGTGTGCGTGTGCGTGTGCGGGTGCGCGTGCGCGTGCGCGTGTGCGCGTGGAGGTGGATGTGGATGTGGATGTGGGTGGGGGTGTGTGTGTGGGGTGTGTGTGTGTGTGTGTGTGTGTGTGTGTGTGTGTGTGTGTGTGTGTGTGTGTGTGTGTCTGTCTGTATAACGCATAACTCATGAACCGATACACAAAAAAACACCAAATTTTAAACCTAAGCTTTGTTTCAGCGTCCAATGAGCTTATTAGATTTTGGGCAGAGTCGGAACATCTGGGGGGGTACTTTATAGGTGGTCATTTTTATATTTTATGGAATATATCTGTTATTTACGTTTGGAGAAGAAAATTCTTCAAATAAAAGTTACTTCTAATATAATTATCTATAATTTTTGTTTTATGCAAAATTTTCCTAAAATGGTCCGTATTCGAGAAATTTGAGAAAATGTAAAAAAAATAATTTTTTATAAAAATTGTTCAAATAAAAGTTGTTTGTAATATAATTTTCTATAATTTTTGTCCTATACATAATTTCTCTAAAATGGACCGTATTCGAGATATTTGAGAAAATGTGTAAATTTCGAAATTTGAAGAAAACTCAAAAACGGATAAAGGAAAAAACATTAAATTTTAAACTTAAGGTTTATTTCGGCCTGACGTGAAATGGTTAGATTTTGGACAAAGTCGGACCATCTGGGGGGGTACTTTATGGGAGGCCGTTTTTATATTTTATGGAATATATCTGTTATTTATGTTTGGAGAAGAAAATTGTTCAAATAAAAGTTACTTCTAATATTATTATCTATAATTTTTGTTCTATGTCAAAATTTCCTGAAATGGTCCGTATTCGAGAAATTTGACAAAATGTGCAAAATTCTGATTTTTATGAAAATTGTTGAACTAAAAGTTGTTTGCGATATCGATTTCTATAATTTTTGTTTATATATGATTTTTCTAAAATGGACCGTAATGGAAAAGTGCTAAATTTAAATTTTTCTGTATTTTCGTTTTCAATGAATATCTATAGAAAAATGTTTCGATGTAGATGTATGTGGAAAATGTATATATTTAGTTTATCCTCTAAACATTTATAGAGATGCTGCAATAGGTTGTACAAAATAACCGGAAAATGCCTATAATAACTAGATAGGAAAGTCATGTGTTGGACACATCAGATTTTTTATTTTAGAATTAAAAACTACATCAAAAATAATGTCAGTTAAACTAAAGGTTCCCTATTACTATTATTATTAGTTTTCGATTTATTTGAATTTTTAAGGAAAAAAAGTCTCCCAGAAATTAATTGTTTACTCTTGTTTGAATAATTTTTAATGAACTAATTTTTTTTTCTTAATCGGAAAATTTGGAGTTGCTGCTTTTGATATTAGACCCCTGATATATATTATCATATTGTAGAAATTGAAAATAATAATTATAAAAAAATAATATTCAAATTATATAAATACATTTGTTTCGGTATTTTTTTTTTTTTATAATAACACCCAGTACACTAAACAGTTTGACAAATCTAGGAATAGTATGACATTTCATAATTTTAGTTAGAAACAATACCAACTTAATACAATAAAAATGCAATTTAATTAAATAAGACAATCATGATAGGGTTTATATACAATAATAATATGATAAAATAAAATCAGTCTGAAATTTTGATATAATCAATTTGAATAAACTCACTTTCATTTAATAAAAATAACACTTTCAAAAATAATTAACTCCTTTCCTTGCTATTGGGCAGAGACAAATTTTAACTTATGGGATTATCGAAACTTAAAAATTGTTGATTTTGAAAACAAAGAAAAGGGGTTTTTGGGGAGATTTTTCTTGAACAAGCAGGGATTTTGAAATCTGCTCTCCTAAAAAAGAAATATTTTATAAAAATTAGAAATTATACAAAAACAAATTAAGTAATTTGTATCAAATTTCACCTATAACTGGTGAAATAGTATGTAAAATAAGTTTCTCTAAGTGTGGTTGTACCTACATTAATAAAAGGTGAATTATATGTTACCTGGTAGAAATCTCATCCTAGTTTATGGGGATTCCTGGAATTAGCAAGCTTGTTTGGACCCATATACACATGCAGAGAACTTTCAAGAAGTTATCAAAGTTTTTGATGACTATTAAAAGAAGAAAAATTACCTGTGATCGATTCCAATAAACTTGCCAAAAAGGTATTATTAATTTGGATTTGTAATACTTAGGCCCGTATTTATAAACAGAACTTACCTGAGTCGGACTTGGGTATGTCGTCATTGAACTAAAATCGAAGTTCGGTTATATCGCGTGAATTTAGAAATGGGTAGTAACAAATCCTTAAATGTACAGGGTTTTTCATTATAATTCGATCGCTATTTCTTTTCATTATTATTGCAAACACAAAAAAAAGTTTTAAGTAAAAGCTATGTTGTTCTATCTGTACCGACTAAAAATGTAATAACAGGCTGAATTGTATATTCAGGACGACTCCAACAAAATATAATTTAATTTTTTTAATGGGACACCCTATATATTTTTGCCATTTTAAGTAGACTTGCGTTTCCTGATAACAAATATATAATATTTTAATTATAATATAGTCGCTTATTGCACTATGAAAGCATAACACTATGACAATCATGTTTCCAAGTGAAACAGTTGTTTGTTTATTAAAAGTTGTCAATTGGTTGCTTGTAATGGGTTTTACTGTGGTCGAAAAAGTTGAGGTAAAACAACAAAGCTTTTACTTGAAACTTTTTTTGAGTTCACAAGAATTATGAAAATACTTAGTGGTCCAAATATAATGAAAAACCCTGTACATAACAGTTACAGATTTGCTAATATCCATCTCTAAATACCAGTGTTACACCAGAACCACCTGGAACTTTAGAGACGTTGTAACCGAACTTCGATTTTCGTTCAAGGACGACTTACCCAAGTCCGACTCAGGTAAGTTCTGTTTATAAATACGGGCCTTACTATTTGTTTGTTTATGTCCAATTTCATTAGCATATAATATATCAAACCAAATCCGCATGTTTATTATCATTATTATTGGCCGTGTTCATCGTCGTCAAAAAAGCAAACAAACATGTTTCATAAGCGGTTGGTATGACCCCAGTATATCTAACAATCAGTATTGGCACTCTGAGGCGGCACGTTTGATCTTTAAGGCCAAGTTCAACGCGTTGTCAATGACAAGTGACCGCGACTTTTTTATCACAAGAAATACAGCTCTGGGGTGAGATTACAGAACGTCTGCAACTTTGCAGATCTGCAACTTTGCAAATATGGCGGACTTACAAATGCAAGTATTCCAAAAAATATCTGCAAATTCGCTATATATTGTGGTTTATTACCCCCAACAACACTAAACCCAAATTTGGAATACGAAAACTTGATACTTGCATGTGTAAGTCAGTAATATTTGCAGATTTTCAAAGTTGCCGCCATATTTGCAGATCTACAAAGTTGCAGACGTTCTGTAATCTCACCCCTGAACGATA